GTCAGGGCTGGAGATATAAATGTGGGAATAATCAGCATTTAGATGGAATTTTAAGCCATGAAGTGGATGAGATCATAAAAGGAGCCAAAGCGGGCAAAGGAGAGAAAAGCCCCCAGGACTGAGCACAGGGACCCTGTGACGCCCTGGGATTTTACTGTCTGTAGGGTCCAACATGGCTCCTGTGTAGTGAACTTAGAGTCTATCTCGTGGCAATGAAGAGGTTATTTTATACACAACTAGGTGTGGACATCACAGTCAGGGATACAACAGGACCCAAACTCAATTCAGTTCTCCAAGAACATTTGATTAAAATGGTAAGATTTATGGACTTTAGTTTCTGATTTATTTTGAAAATCAAATTTATGCAAAGACATCCACCAAGGCCACGAAGTTGGAGATTTCACTTTTTTTCTTTGAAATTTGCCACCATCGGATAATCATAATTCTGTATGTGAGGACATGTTTTCTATCCTATTTTCTTTTCCTAGTGCCTCTCCATTTTCTCCCAATCTAAACTCATGATTACAAGATTAGCATCTTGCCTGTGATGATTCAGGCATATTGAATCACTTCCCAAAGTGTGTTTAAAATATATTGAAATCCTATCTTGGAAATAGGGTGTGTAATTTATTTCAGAATATATTATTTCTAACAAATAAAAACTAATCAACTAGGAACTAAACAGCTAAATTTCCAGCATTGCCTGATCAAATAGTCTTCGTTCTTTGATTGATTTTTTTAGCCCAAATATTTCATGTCTCTAAATCATGGGGACACACGAAACGTTTCAGGAGTCTGCTGGTTTCCGGCATTCTCTAAAGAAGAGTAAAGTGACAGATTGAGATTTCCATTTTCACTTGTTATTTTCTGTGAATTTAATATTGCACACCACAAAGAGAGCTGTTTTGTGTCAACAGGAATTAGGACAGAAAGAAAGTTATTTCTTGGAAGGAAGATAGCATGGTGTATTAGTTAAGGTAAGGCTTGCCACTGTAACAAATAAACTCTATATTTTCCATAGGTTGAAACAACAGAAGTTTATTTCTGTCTACTGAGGGGCACTTTTTCTCCCTTCAAGAACACGGCTGTCTCCATATGGGGGTCCCACCTTACTTAGGTTCTCAGATTCCTCTTAATCCAGGTGCAATGGGTATGAGAATAGAGAAGGCATATCTGCCTCTTAAAAAATCCCAGCCATAAATGATACATCACTTTCTCTCACATTCTATTGCTGAGTTCATGACTCTGGGTGAATGGGAAGCTGGGAAATGCCTTAGTCCAGTAGCTGCTTCCCAGTAACTTTACTGGGACAGACAGATTTGAGTTTAAATTCTGAAATTACCACAAACTGTATGACCTCGGGTGAAGTACTCAATCCTTCTGAACTAAGTTACTGAATTCTTTGAGACATTGGTTTACTCTTCTGCAATATGGGAGAAAGGGTCGTCTTGTAGATTAGTTGTGTTCATAAAAGATAATTTATGAACTGTGCTCACCACAGAGTAGTTATACCTGGTAAAATTCTTTTTTTCTTTTTTTTAAATTTATTTTTGGCTGCGTTGGGTCTTCGTTGCTGTGCATGGGCTTCTCTAGTTACGGCGAGCCAGGGCTACTCTTCGTTGTGGTGCACAGGCTTCTCATTGCGGTGGCTTCTCTTGTTGTGGAGCACGGGCTCTAAATGCACGGGCTTCAGCAGTTGTGGCACGTGGGCTCAGTAGTTGTGGTGCACAGGCTTAGCTGCTCCTCAGCATATGGGATCTTCCCAGACCAGGGATCCAACCCATGTCCCCTGCATTGGCAGGTGGATTCTTAACCACTGTGCCACCAAGGAAGTCCCTTACCTGGTAAGATTCTTTTGAGTCAAAGGGGACAAAAATCTAACTGAAACAGTTTAAGCTGAAAAGGGAGAATTTGAAGGACCCAGTGCACTACTGCTGGTTTAAAGACAGAGGAGGCAACAGGATGAGGGATGTAGGTGTGTAAGAAGCTGAGAGAGAGAGGCCAACAACCAGCAAACAGACAGGAACCCATCCCTCCAAACACAAGCAAGAGGGCTCAAGACGGCAGCACAGGAATATCCTGAACTTATGTCCTCCACAGACACAAACCTACAACTGCAAATGGAACAATTCCCTCAGAAAACGATCTGAAAACTGGATGAACAGAGCCTCGCGAGAAAAGGTGAAAGGACAGCACTGAGACGCGGGCTCACCAGGGAAAACCACACCCCAGCTGCACAACTGGGAGGGACCCCAAAGAGGTGGAGCTTTTCCCTGAGGAGTGAGGGATTCGAGCTCCACATCAGGCACCCCAGCCCCCAGATCCTGCATAGGAGAGATATGCTCCCAAATCACCCGGCTTTGAAAACCAATGGAGAATAAACCCAGGGAAACTATAGAGCTGCAGGCAACAAAAACCCCACTCTTAAAAGGCTCATGCACGGGGGGCTTCCCTGGTGCCGCAGTGGTTGAGAATCTGCCTGCCAATGCAGGGGATACAGTTTCGAGTCCTGGTCCGGGAAGATCCCACATGCTGCAGAGCAACTAAGCCCGTGTGCCACAACTACTGAGCCCGTGTGCCACAACTACTGAAGCCTGCGCACCTAGAGCCCGTACTCCGCAACAAGAGAAGCCACCGCAGTGAGAAGCCTGCACAACGCAACGAAGAGTAGCCCCCGATCACTGCAACTAGAGAAAGCCCACGCACAGTAACTAAGAGCCAACAACGAAGACCCAATGCAGCCAAAAATAAATACATAAATAAATTTATTAAAAAAAGGCTTATGCACGGACTCACCCAACCTGAAAACCAGCACAAAAACACCAGGTTGAAAAGTGTATGTTTCACAGGTGAAGGGCACCCACTTACTAATCTTCAAGTGTCTGCTGAAGAAGCAGGAGTCATTCGGGATGCTTCCCAGGGATAGAGTCACTGGCAGGAGGCATTTACGCGACCTCAGGCTTCCTTGCTAATGCCAGTGCTGGTGGGCACCATTTTGGAATTCTCCATGTGACCCGGTATCGCCAATGGGCACGTCCCACTGACAGCCCCGCCCACCCTGCATCCTGGCAGCCTCTCACAGCCAGGTGAATGACAGCCAGCCCACCAGCACTCCAAGGCAGCCACAGCCCCATGACAACAGGAGGGCACACATAGCCCACGTAGGGGACACCCCTTAAGCACCTGGCTGTAGTGGCCAGGCAGGATTGCACTTCTGAGCCCCACAGGACAGCTCCTAAATAAGACCATACCTTCAAGACTGGGGGAGACAGCTAATTCTTAATACGTATATATATACTTAATACACAGAGAATTAGGCAAAATGAGGAGACAAAAGAATATGTTCCAATTGAAAGAACGAGACAAAACCTCAGAAAAGATGTTCAGCATCACTAATTATTACAGAAAGGCAAATCAAAACCACAATGAGATATCACTTCACACCTGTTGAAATGGCTATTATCAAAAGGACAAGAAATAACAAATGCTGGAGAAGATGTGGGGAAAAGGGAACCCTTGCACACTGTTGGTGGGACTGTAAATTGGTGCAGCCACTATGGAGGATGGTATAGAGACTCCTCACAAAAACTAAGAATAGAACTACTATATGACACAGCTATTTCACTTCTGGGTATTTATCCAAAAATCATGAAAAAATTAATTCAAAGAGATATATGCACCCCTATGTTCATTGCAGCATTATTTACAATAGCCAAGACGTTGAAACAACGTAAGTGTCCATTGATGAATGGATAAAGAAGATCACACACACACACACGCACACACACACACACACACGGAATACCACTCTGCCATAAAAAAATAACAAAATCCTGCCACTTTTAATAACATGCATGGATGCAGAGGGTGTTATGCTAAGTGAAATAAGTCAGGTGGAGAAAGACGAATACCATATGATTCCACTCATATGTGGAATCTAAAAAAAAACAAACAAAAACAAAATAAAACAAAAGCAAACCCATAGACACAGAGAACAGATTAGTGGTTACCAGAGGGGAAGGAGGTTGGGAGGTGGGTGAAATGCACGAAGGGTCAACTGCATGGTGATGGATGGCAGTTAGGCTTGTGCTGGAGATCACTCTGTAGTGTACACAGATGTCAAATTGTCATACTATATACCTGAAACTTATATAATAAAAGGGGGGAGAAATTATTGGTTATTGAAACCAGATCCTAGGACAGACGGACTCATGGGCAGCTGAGCTCACAGATGGCACTGTTGTCCCCATGCTGTATGCCCGCACTTTGCATTTCTGCTCCTCGGTTCACATTGGCCTCATCAACACCTACTGCTGAATGGCTTTCTCCTTCCAAATGGCCAGGACCCGTCCAAGCCCACAGCCTGAACTCACATCCCAACTCTACTCTTCCTAGCAGCTCCAGCCAGAAAAACCTAAGGGAAGGACACAGACTGACCAGGCTCAGATCCTTTGTCCAGGTCTTACAGCCAGAGAAGCAGTTCTCTTCACAGAAGATAGGAGTGTGCTGGAGAGACAGTAGCTACGTCTGGGGTGCTTACTTTATTGTAGCTGTTTTTATTTGGGGGACATCACTATGAAGAGCTTCTCCCTACCTTTTTCTTTCACTGACCTTGTCAGGGTCCCTCCATAGCATCCCAACTGAGATCACTCTTCCCAGGCTCCAGAATTCCCTCTGTCCTCCCCTCATCAAAACCCTCTTTCTCTCAGTAATGTTAGCTCATGAACTGAGAAGAAATTAACATGTAAATGGATTCCCATTGTGGTACAAGTGACTGATAAGAAGGATGTGTGTTACCTTTCCACCAGTAGGAAATTGTCCTAGAAGCCCCACGGTCTGCTTATTCAGTCCTAAGGCATCAGCCTACTTGCAGTCCCACGGCTGCAGTGGTGCTCACATCCAAGACCCCATCCCCCAAGCAGGGCAGCCACCCAGGGACACACAGGGGCACTGCCAGGCCATCATTACAGCCAGGCCTGGAGGCAGGCTCCTCACTCAAGATGCCAAAGCAGCCAGCTGAAAACCGGGAACGTCAGTCAATCAAACTTCTCTTTGTTCTACGTGATATCACCGTGTAGGACAAACAGCCTGTTGGATTCATTTTCTTTCTTTCTTTTTTTTGGACCCAAGTACCTGAAATTCCACCTCATGGAAAAAACAGCCGCATTTCTAGCGCCAGCACTTAGGTGCCAGATACCGTCTGCCGATCCCCGCTCTGTCACTCGGGAGCCCGTGATCTTGACCAAGTGAGCCGACCCTCCTCAGCCTCCTGCTGTTTCCTCATCTGTGAAGTGGGCAGACTGTGGTCCCGAAAGCTCTAATCGTCCTCATGCCAAGTCCTGTTCTTCCTTGAAGAGGATTCGCCCACACCAAGAATCTTCTGGCACTCAGTCTGAGGTTTCAGAGCCCCCAGATGTCTACTAGTGGCCCAGGCTTATGGCTGACCGTCGCAGGGCACTACAGAGAGCGAAGCCTGGCCACCAACATTTGGTTAGTCGGTGCCTACTGCATGCCAGCCTCCTCCAGACATTCTACATCCTTTCTCACACTTCCTCTTCACAAAATTTCTATAAAGGATTCCATCTTACAGATGAGGAAATGAGTTCGAAGGACTTGGGTGGCTTCACTCCAAGGGCTGTCCGTTCTGTGTGCTGACCTCCCAGACGTGGCTCAGGGGACAAAGCCCAAGGGCACAGGTGGGTCCTTTGCACCTGGGTGCTCATAGGAGGCATGCTGCAGGGCCCCCCGGGACCTGGCCTGGCCTCATCCCTGCTGTGAGGGAGAAGCGCTGCCATTCAGGCTTGAGCACTGCCATTCAGAATGGGATGATATGGTCTGTGTTTGTTGGGGGGAAGATAGACATTAATAGGGAAGAAGGTCCACTCTGCAATCTCACGAAATCACACTCCTCCTACCCCAACAAGGAGACGTGGTGTCAGTTTTCACGGTTAGTGGCCACTCTTCATTGCACGCCCATTATGTTACGTGAGGCTCTGTGCTAAGGACATTACATCAGCCCTCCCTATCCATGGGTTCTGCGTCAGCACATCCAACCAACCATGGATGGAAAACAAAAATACTTTTGATTCCAGAAGTTTCCAAAAAGCTGAAGTTGAATTTGCCACATACCGGCAACTATATACATAGCATTTAAATTGTAGTGGATATTATAAGTAATCTGGAGATGTATATGAAAGGATGTGCATAGGTTATATGCAAATACTATGCCATTTTATATGAGGGACTTGAGCATCTGTGGATTTTGGTATTCCAGGGGTTCCTCAAACCAATCCCCCATAGATATGGAGGTACCACTGTCTATATGTTTTCTCATCTAATCCTCAAAACGATGCTTTAATGTAGATACCATTATCCCCATTTAACAGATAAGAAAATTACAGTTTTGAGCAGCTAAGTGACTTGCCCAAGGTCACAGACCCATCATTTGAACTCAAGACTACCCTCTTAACCATTCTTTAATAAAGCAATCAATGCCTCATCCTGGGTATGCGTGTCACATACTCAGTTTGGGTTTTCATTCTCTCTCTCTCTGGTTTTCACAAGCAAGGTCTCCCCTCGAGCCTCACCCAGTGGTTTCCCACAAAGAGCCCATGGTGTGCTGCCAGTACAACCCCACCTTCAGGCAGGTGGTCAGCTGCTCGGAAGCATCTGTAAGTGTCAAATCTTGGTCTCTTTAGCAATGATGTATTTGCAAGTGTGGTCCCACTGTCTTCACCTCGGTGGGGAGCAGAGTGTTCTGGGGACCTTCTGTCCCTGGAAGTAGAGAATGGGTGGTTCAGTTCTACTTTGCTGATCACCTAGTAGTGTTCGGACACTCTCATGTGAACGCCACATGGAAGAGCTCACAGATTCTGAGGGGGCTGGTGGTGTGAGTAATTTGGAAGGACCGTCTGGTCCTGTGGAAAGGTATTATTTCAAGGCGATTTTCTTGTGTGGTGTAGGATGATCAATTCAACGACCCTAATCCACTGTAACTCTAATCCAGGAAGGAGGGTTCAGAGCATGCCACGTCCACTTCCCTCTCACCGGGGCTCGTGAGGACCATGCTGGCCCCAGCCTAGAGGACCAGCACAGTGTCTAGTCCACAGGAGGGACCATAATCAGTAATCATTGCTCCTTGAATAAGGAACTAGAGCAGGGAAACACGCACATCCCATAACTCATGTTCTCCTGTCCTTGTGGTAACGGGAGGGCACATCCCAAATACACCCACGATGCTGAAAAGTTCCGAAAGCTTCTAATATTCAGTTCAGTTACTTCCTGCATCAGTGGCCTAGGTTCCAGCATCGCAAGTGAGTGTCCTGGGCCATGTGGCCGCGCCCTCTTTCCTTTTTCCTGCCAGAGCCTGACACACCCTGTCTTTAGGATTTACAGCATCGGGGACATCACAGCCCAGACACGTCCTCTTCACGTGCACACTTACTTGAGCTGCACTCCCAGTGACGCTTGACTGTCTTTGCATCTGTTCTTGTCTAGCTTCTGCTCCAGAAATTAGCAGTCACCCATGGTTAAATACCAAAAGAAGTAGATCAAAAATTTTTTATGATGACTCAGTCTCGATTCATCTCAAAGAAGGCGGGTTCCTGCATAGTTTGGGTTCAAACTTGTAAAGAAGCATCTATCCTCCAAATTTATCAGAGTCGTCTCTGAGTCCAAGGAAGCCAACCTCTTCACCTCCTCAGCATCCTGCACATTCCTGCCCCTGGCTCTGTGCAACCTTTTCTCATCTCCACCCCAGAATTTCCTGCTTCCTCCTCTTTTCTTCTTTTTTTTTTTTTTACATCTTTATTGGAGTATAATTGCTTTACAATGGTGTGTTAGTTTCTGCTTTATAACAAAGTGAATCAGTTATACATATACATATGTTCCCATATCTCTTCCCTCTTTCGTCTCCCTCCCTCCCACCCTCCATATCCCACCCCTCTAGGTGGTCACAAAGCACCGAGCTGATCTCCCTGTGCTATGCGGCTGCTTCCCACTAGCTATCTATTTTCTGTTTGGTAGTGTATATATGTCCATGCCGCTCTCTCGCTTTGTCACAGCTTACCCTTCCCCCTCCCCATTCCTCCTCTTTTCTTACACACACCTGAGCAATCCTTCAAGGTCAAACTCAAGTCCTCTCTCTGCCAGGAAACACTTGCCTTCACTGCCCTGACTCATGCAGGCACCTCCCACTTCCTGATGACTCACGGTTAGTGCCTCCCATGGCTGCTGGGGTGTGTTCTCACCTGCCCTGCTCTGTTTCACCTGTGTGAGCCTCGCCTCTAAACAATTTCTGCAGGCACTTGAGAGCAGGGATCAGAGCATCTATGTTTCCCTCTTCTTTCCTTCTTGATCTCTCAAAACCGTTCTTATTCTTTAAGGCACAACTCAGATACCAGCTCCTCTAAGAAAGCATGCTAGATCCCCTCCCACACCCAGGCAGAATGAATGGCTCCGTTAGCATCTGGGCTCCTAATTCCATGGTAACACAGTCTGTCTCCCTCAATAGCATTATTTTGATATGCACGTCTCCCCCAGCAGTGGGTGGTAGGTAGGTGTTGAATTGAGATATAAACACCCTCACAGCTATTATACTGTATTAGGCACATGCTGGTAATAAACTCTCCAATACTTACTGAATTAAATTACTGATTTGAGTGTTCGCTCACCTTGCAGATCTGTTGCTGTGTGAATTCTCTGGATCATCATCATGCCGATCGTCACAATTCATGACATCCAAACCACATTACACTTGATATTTGTGGAGGAAAGAATATAGTCCAAGATCTTGATGAAGCCTGAATTTACGAAAACCACTATACCACACTGTGTTCATTCAGTTGTATAAGCAGAGTGCTAGGGACCACCGACCTTGCCTCTGAAAATCCTTGTAAACTGTAAAATGAAAATTAATAAATGCTCAATTAAATGTTTACAGCACATTACTTATGAGCTGCAACTTAACACACACATAGTTATATGTAATACCAAAGTTTATAAGAATAACAATTTTTTATCAACTGAGCTTAAAACTGTATTCTTTAAATTATTTTAAAATTTGCTAGCAAAATTCTATTATATTTAATGGGGGACATGGTTGCATTTTAATACATTTAAATGGATGGGATCTCCAAAAGGAAGAACAACATGGGGCAGTGAAATTCTTTTTTTTTTTTCCTTAATATTTATTTATTTATTTATTTGGCTCCGCTGGGTCTTAGTTGTGGCATGTGGGATCTAGTTCCCTAACCAGGGATAGAACCCGGGCCCCCTGCATTGGGAGCACGGGGTCTTAACCACTGGACCACCAGGGAAGTCCCTGGGACAGTGAAATTCTTAAAGGAGTCCTGCTATGGCATGAAATTCCCTCCACAAAGTATAAGTGAGGTAGGTATACCTGAAAAGTATACATAGCACCTTTAGACTTTTCTTGATTCTGTAAATAGAACCCTAAAGTCATTTTCAGAGAGATTTCCCTTGCTCACTTCAGTCTTCAATCTTTTCACTTCCATTACCAGCAGTAGCAAGTGGCTTTCTTGGGGGGGAAAAAAAAAAAAAAAAAAGCTGTGTTTAATCACACAGCAGCAAGGCAGGTCCTCCCTCGGGTGTTGATCCTTTGTTGTCTGCCCAGCTCATGCTCTGTCTGCTCATTCGTCCACGCCATCAGGTACTTAAACCAATTCTGGATCTCAACCATATCACAGATCACTGCATGTTATGGAACTTTGGGATATTTGCAAAGATTGAAACCACTAAAGTAAAGTAAAGTAAAGATTAAAACCAATAAAGTAACACTAAGGGTTTACTGAAATATTCAGAAGAACAGATGAATGCCCCTGAGCTGTACACACCCCTGGGAACGCTGGCCTTATAGAAGGACAGAGGAAAGGAAGCAAAGTGTACCCTACTGATCTCAGCAACTTGCAGTCAACAACAGTGCTGTCTGGTTTTTGGCTTGGAGACCCAGAAGTTTCTCTAATGTCAATGGGGCAGCCTTTTTTACAAAGTGGCAGGCTAGAAGGACCGTTCAATAGTCCTGAGAAAGAGTGCTGTCCTCAAGCGTTTCTCCTCTGACACTGTCACTGCCTCTGGGTGCAGGATCCAGAAAGCCTGCCCCAGAGGACGTCCTTCCTGCGGGGGGCGGGGGGCACCTACCCCAACCAGCCATGACAGATGCTACTCACGTCCCTTTAAAGATGATTCTCATTCAAAAGCTGCTCAAAGGTTGGAGCTAAAAGAAAGTAACTACAAGACTGGAACAAGTTGGACTGAGTGCAGTCTTAAAGCTGAGGGTTTAAATAGCCTCCCCAGAAAATGGGTCATCTATCCATTCAGCTTTGCTTTGATGGTGAATAAATTTTGCTGCTCAAAATTCAATCCACACCTATCTTCTCTGAGTCTAGGTGGCCAGGAGATTTTCATCCAATATTTCTAAATTTTCTAATCTTCTCAGAGAGTGCTATAGACTGAATTGTGTTCCCCCCAAATTCATGTGTTGAAGTCCTAACGCCCAGTACCTCAGAATGTGTCTGTATTTGGAGATGGAGTCTTTAAAGAGGTCATCAACTTAAAATGAAGCTGTTAGGGTGGGCCCTAATCCAGTCTGACTGGTCTTCTTATAGCCAGAGGAAATGTAGACACATAAAGAGATGCTGGGTTGCACAGGCACAGAGGAAAGAGCTTGTGAGGACATGGTGAGAAGGCGGCCATCCGCAAGCCAAGGAGAGACGCCTCAGAAGAGACCAAACCCTGCTGGCAACTTGATCGTGGACTTCCAGCCTCCAGAACTGTGAGAAAATAAATGTCTGTTGTTTGAGCTCCCCAGTCTATGGTATTTTCTTATTGCAGCCCTAGCTAATGAATACACTCTGGTAAACAAATTGTATTGAAAGTACAGAAACTTTTGGGGTAAACTTTCATCTTTCATATCTATGACACTAGACCTCTAAATGCAAATTCTCTTTAATTTGATGGCCAGTGTCTCCAGGCTACTTTTTCCAACTTCCTGATACAGGTGGTGAAAGTATGGGACTTTGAAACAGGAATACTGTTGTCCGATTTTATTGAGGCTCATGACAATGCTGGAATCCGTTGTCTGACCTTTGACTCCAGTGGAAGAGGGTATGTGCCTTCTCCAGAATCTTTTTTTTTTAATTTTATTTATTTATTTATTTTATTTATTTATTTTTGGCTGCATTGGGTCTTCGTTGCTGCGCGCGGGCTTCCTCTAGTTGTGGCGAGCGAGGGCTTCTCCTCGTTGTGGTGTGCGGGCTTCTCATTGTGGTGGCTTCTCTTGTTGCAGAGCATGGGCTCTAGGTGTGCGGGCTTCAGTAGTTGTGGCACATGGGCTTCAGTAGTTGTGGCACGCGGGCTCAGTAGTTGTGGCGCACGGGCTTAGTTGCTCTGCGGCACGTGGGATCTTCTCCGATCAGGGCTCGAACCCGTGTCCCCTGCATTGGCAGGCGGATTCTTAACCACTGTGCCACCATGGAAGTCCCGCCAGAATCTTTTACCGTTAGGCAGGGTGACCCCTGACTTGCAGTCGTGACGGGGGTCTCTGTTTCCTAGTCTAGTTACTGGGGGAAGAGATGACTCTCTGAAAATATGGAGCTACAACAATGGACCTTGTCTTCACACCTTGAAACATGGTGAGTCACCTCCTACCAAAGGTCCCCATAAAATAATGATGCAAGAACAGGCATTTGTAGTAAGTGTAGAAGAAATCAAATGAGACAAAATCTAGGATGCATGTAACAATCCTACATCCTTTTTCTCTGGCATTTCATTGCCAGTGACTCTAAACTTCTATGTAGGAAGGACATACATTATATACATGTTTGTTCTCCCATCTATAGCCCATGCATTTGTTCCCTCACTGCCTGGTATAGGCCTCATTTCTTAAAAGAATTTAGCTTTTTAAAACATTTTAAAAATCACATAAGTCAAACATCACAAAGTCTAGATGAACTAAAAGCTACTCTCTTTTGTGTGTCATTGTGATTTTTTTCAAGGCTGCTTATTCCATTTGTTCATGTGCTGTGTCTCTTCTTGGTAAAATTTACGCAGTTCTGGCCTGTGAAATTATGGAGAAGATCAGAGGCAAACTTTCTTCAACTATCAGTACAAATGAAGTCCAAGTAAATAAGATAAAAATTACTCAGAGTAGGTGGGCTTCCCTGGTGGCACGGTGGTTGGGAGTCTGCCTGCCAATGCAGGGGACACGGGTTCGAGCCCTGGTGTGGGAGGATCTCCCATGCCGCGGAGCAACTAGGCCCGTGTGCCACAACTACTGAGCCTGCGCGTCTGGAGCCTGTGCTCCGCAACAGGAGAGGCCACGATAGTGAGAGGGCCGCGCATGGCGATGAAGAGTGGCCCCCGCTTGCCACAACTAGAGACGGCCCTCGCGCAGAAACGAAGACCCAACACAGCCAAAAATAAATAAATAAAATAATGAATACATAACTACTTAAAAAAAAATGACTCAGAGTAGGGACTTCCCTGGTGGTCCACTGGTTAAGACTCCGTGCTTCCACTGCAGGGGGCACGGGTTGGGTCCCTGGTCTGGTAACTAAAATCCCGCACGCCTCACGGCTCTGCCAAAAAAAAATTATGCAGAGTAATGAGTGTGTGATTCCTAGTCCTGCCTTTGACCTCATGCATTCTTTGGCTCATTCACTCAGTCAGTAAGGGCCAGGAACTGTGCAGGGTCCTGTCAGGAAGAGGGTGAGCCTCTTCCCATTGCTGAGCGAGGGCTTCATCAGCCTTTTAGGGCAGTGAGTGTGGCATCAGCTGTGTTTTGATGGCTTGAAAGACACCTAACTGTGGTCTGAAAACTGAAAAGTAAGTGCTGAAGTTTCCCCAGTCATCAGTTGGGTTAAGTCAATATATGTAAACTGACTCAAGAACTAATAAAGAAAAATGCTTACTCTAAGTTGATAATATTATCTTTCTAGATGAAAAGCAAAGTGAAGTCTGTGATTATACCTACTTGGAGGTAAGCCAAAATAAGTGAGTTCTAGTCAGCTTGAATATGAGGGTCATCTTGGATATTTAGTGGGACATATTTTTTGATACAAACTTTGTCCTGGAGGAGGACACCAAGATAGTAAAGGGAATCTTCTGGAAGCAAATGTGTCAAAGAATTCCCCAAACTGTGGTTGCTCCCTGATGGTAATTTAGGCAACTAGGCTCTTCCAGAATATTGGAAACAATTCTCTGCACATTTTGATAACGGTTTAGAGGTAGAGATAGGAAACAGTGTACCTCTCCACCAAATGCTTTATTAAGGAATAAATCACAAGCTAGGGTAGTTAAATTCAGCAGCCATAAGTCAAAGAATAAAAATCCAATAAATTCTCTCCTGAACATTAAAATGTTAAAAACAATCCTTGATCAATTTCTGTCTGTGCCCTTGCCTCCGTGGTTCAGCCATGCTCTCGGAATCAAATAATCCTCCGGAAGGCAAGCTGCTCTGGAGCAGACCATGAAAACAAACCAGGGTATCCTGTTTCTGTTCCCTAATCCTTTAAGAACCAGTTAAAAAACTGAGCCTAGTTTATCAAATCACATTTTATCTTGCTCTTCCTAAAAAACAGAAGCAGTGATTTTCTCGTCCTCTTCATTTATCACACCGACACAGCAAAATGAGGCCACAGTACTGATCCTATGCAAAAATTAAACAGACGATAAGCTGAAGTATCAAAATGTAATAGTCTGTTATCGCTCTAGGTGTATCATAGCTGTTGGGTGGGACAGAAGAATAAATGTGTACTTTGTAAGTGAAATGTACAAAATTATGACATTTCAAAACCCTGCTTCAGGCTGACATGCTTCTCCCCACCCCCATGCCCTGTTGATTCTTTTCTCACTAAAAACAGATTTTGGAGAAATTCCTTATACCTCTATCTGGTATAAGCTAACCAATGATATGGGCAAAAGAGTTTCCTCCTTCCCTCTCTCCCCCTTTCCCCCCATCTTTCTCTCCTCCCTCCCTTTAAAAAACCTTTTTAGTGTTTCTGTTTCCGTTTTTTAAATTCTTTTCTATGGGAAGAAGTGTAATGACTCTGTACCCAATTCCGACACATGGAGGTTTTTCCCACACCAACAAGCAATTCTCCGACACCAGCCGGTACCCTACAGTTCCACTCAATTCTGACTCTATCTACCTGGAGAGAGCATCAGATTCCACGGGGTCAGGGTTCAGTCCTACAAGACACAAGACTCCTGCCCTCCTCCCCTCTGCCCTGCCCTGCAGACACCATTTGCAAGTCCTGTCCAACTGGCTATAGACCAGGGGTTCCAACAACACCCTCCTTGGGTTACATTAATTTTCTAGAGCATCTCACAGAACTTAGAGAAATATTTCACTTACTGGATTTTCCTCCCACCTTGTCTTTATGCCGTAGTCCCTCTCTAAATGGGAAGAGGAGATGAAATGCCATCCATAAGCATCTCTGTGGAAAAAAAAAATCTTTTTCTACGGCTTAGAGATGGGAAAAGGGATTAAGAGACAGGGGAAGATGAAAATGCTGACTACAACTACGTTTTAAATCTACCTGTGGCATATTATGTCCCCTGCTTGCTCTGCTGGGTGGTCCTGGATTTCCAAAGCCTTTAAACATTGTAAGTTCTTTATTCATTTGAAAGTATGCTGTATGTCAGAGCCTAAGCCTAGCATCCTCAGATGATTTGAGACATGACTGCCTGAGAGGTCTTGGCATTGAATTTGTCCTTTGGTATTACAGGTTCCTGGGCTGATGGCTTTTGTTTTAGCTCATGCATCAGCTATGGGTCTTATTACAGAGGCGAAACTATGCAGACCATCCGAGAAGAGCTTGTCAGTTGGCATATGATTTGCTGAAATGCAATCACCCAAACGTCAGGAGTGGATTGCTTTTTATTCCCACTGGCACTAGGGGAATTTGCTTTGACATTTCAAAAATCTACATCACCGATGGGGTGAGGGGTAGGGCTGTAAAACGTGCCAACGCCTCTCTCTGAAATTGTGAGTGTGTTGGCAGCTCATTTTACTGCTTGTACAACATCTCCTGTTTGGCTTTGGATACAGCACACACCTCGTGACTTTCATCACTTCCGGAAGCCATAGCCACACTGGCAGGATGACTTGGTGAGCCCCGGTCCACTGCCCGCCTCTCCACCCAAACAGCGACACTTGATGGGGATGTCCTTCACTCCTGGGGCTCACCCCTAGTCTTCTGGGCCTGCCTAGGGTGGTCATAGCATCTCAAGAGCCTCTGCTGTGGGGGGATTCATGATTGGGGTCCAGGTAGAGTAAGGAGCACTGAGCTCCAGGCAGCTGCCTCTGCTCCAGGAAGAGTGATGGCCTTTGTTCAGGCTGGGGCAGGAGGCCCAGGAGGAAATCCACACAGTTCTCCTTGAGCTCAGCCTGGAGCCCTGTAGTGCAGGAATGGCAGCCCAGGATGTGACGCGTGTGACTTTCTTCAAAGAAGCATCCACTTCCTGCTTCTGCTTGGCATGCAAAACTGTATGTATTCACTCTGCCATCCTTGGGTGGCCAGGGAACCTAGCAGGTGACATTCCTGCTGCCCTGTGGCTTGTTAGGGGCTCATAACCAGGGGACTTCTTGCGATTCTTATTAGCCTCCAACTTTCTACAGCTTCCCAGGGTTGAATGATCTCCCTCAAAACTGTCTGGATGTCAAGCCATGAAGACAAGCAGTAAGAAAGGAAGGTCATTGTGCACAACCATTTCCCACCACCCAACCGTACCTTATGCCTCTGTAAACATTCCAAAAGCCACAAGTCACTAGAATACAAACTCAATGAAGACAGGCCTTGTCTGTTTTCTCCACTGTATTCCCGGGATGTAGCTCAGGGCCTGGTTTATAGTAGCTGCCCAACTAATATGCTTCCATTAGTGACGAGCAAAGTGGTCATCACACGATCCCTGCCTTCATGGAGTTTGCAGATGAGTGACTGTTTTTTCGGTTTTTTTTGGTTTTTTGCGGTACGCGGGCCTCTTACTGTTGCGGCCTCTCCTGTTGCGGAGCACAGGCTCCGGACGCGCAGGCTCAGCGGCCATGGCTCACGGGCCCAGCCGCTCCGCGGCATGTGGGATCCTCCCGGACTGGGGCACGAACCCGTGTCCCCTGCATCGGCAGGCGGACTGTCAACCACTGCGCCACCAGGGAAGCCCTGGATGAGTGACTGTTGAGTGAAAGAACAGAATTTGCAGAAAATGTCCCCAGGAAAGCCATGGCCATTGCAAGGGCAGAAGTCATGCAAGAGTCAGTGAAGTGTTAGTTCATTCAAATGTTTTTTCAGTCACTTATCAATTCTTTCAACCCCCTATTTATCAAGCACGGACATAGTGCCATCCTTAGTGGGTAGGCACAGAAAATACAAACATGAATAAAATGTGATTCCCGGCCCAGAATCTCACAGACTGGCAAGGAGGTAAACTAAGGAAGTAATCACCATACGATGCCACAGATGATATAATAATGTATTAGTTAATGTAATAATGTTTTAATAATAATATAAAATGCTGGAGAAACCCCAAGGTGGGAACTACTAACTTTTGCTCTAACACTGTACAGGATATTAAAAGATTACTACGATTTTTCTGGGAGGCCAAGGTAGGGAAAGGCAGTCTAGATGAGGGGAAAGGAGGAGAGCGTGAACCAAGTCTGGATGTCCTGAGAAGCATGTTGTTTGGAAGGACTATGAATATTTTGAGGGGCTGGAGGACCAGGTACAGGAGGGAAGTGAGCTTGGAAAGCTAATCAGAACCTGAAAGCCGTGCCAAGGCACGTAAACTTCATTCCGCAGGCAGCGGGACCAGGGAAGGAGAAGCCCAGACACAAGCGCTCACAGATTTCAGAAGGAGGCAAGATTTGGAGACAGAAGATCGTGGGGAGGAGAGGGCCACTGACTTGCTCTTTTCCAACTGTCCTACCCCCCGTCTTCCCAGCCGCTTTCAAGCAGAAGGGGCTTCTTAGGTGACCACGGGATAGGTCCTCAAGGGACTCTCTGTGGGAAGTACCTGAGGGCAAGGGAGAAAGATCTTTACAGCCCCGGGAGAAACCAATTCTTTTCACAAAGAAACTGTACCCCGCTGAGAAAGTTGAAAGGATAATGGCCAGGGACTCTTTGAACTCTGCAGCACTGGTCTCAAAAACAAAAACATTTTCATTTCGTTTCTTATCTTTCTTAAGGATCCATATACCTAAATCCTCCTTTCAAGGAGAATAGGCAATTCCAATTCCTAACAGCACTTGTAAGCCACAGTGCAGGGCAGATGGGAGCCCTGGAGGAATTGAGTTGAGGGACTTCACACCCCGGAATTTAGACCTGGGGCTCTTGGGAGGCCAGACCCCCTTGGCCACTGCTTGGGTTCCATTGTCACATTACCATCAAGATTTCAGCCCCGAAGAGGGTTCCTTGTGAATAACCTCCTTGCCAGCATTATGGGGAGGTAAGGAAGCTGCTAGGAGTAACACCTCCCTGGGGAAGGTGATAAAACTGACCCAAGGAGATGCAGCACCTCTCTGGCTGACCTGCAAGCAGACTCCTACCTGGAGGGATGCCCCTGACCCCCTGGACTGGGCCGGGCCACCAGGTTCCGCAAGAGTCCTTAATGGGGGGCAGCCACAGGAGGGGCCCCTCTGTCTCCTCTGTCTTAGGCATCCAATGAAGGGGAGCGAGCTGTGGGTGACTGGGGACTGGATTTCTTACTCTGTCCCTCTCTGTCTCTCTCTCTCTCTCTTTCCCAGAACCACGGGCAGAAGGAGGACATCCTCTGTGTAGCTCAATGCCCGCCTATTCTCCTTGCCACCTCCAGCTGCGACGGGGAGATTATCATTTGGAATGTCATCTCAGGGCACATGCAGTGCAAGCTGAATACCCCCAGCCCCTGTGATGGCACAGAACATAGAGAACGTAGGGGCAGGGCGGCCTCCACAGCCACTCTGCCCAGGCCCGCAGCCTCTGACTCCTGGCATGTTGTCTAAAGGAAACTCAGTTCTGGACTGCTTCCCGGTTATAAGGGATTGGCCTAGTTTCAGGCATAACTTGTCAGATGGAGACTGCCAGAGCTGGGGGGGGGGGGCGTGGTGGAGCTTGAGAGTTCAACTAGCTCAGTCCACATCTCCAGCCACCCATCCATCAAAGCCCATCTCACATTCACCTGAAACTAACACAACATTGTAAATAAACTATACTCCAATACACTATGGAGAACAGTATGGAGTTCCTTAAAAAAATAAAAATAGAACTACCGTATGACCCAGCAATCCCACTACTGGGCATATACCCTGAGAAAACCATAATTCAAAAAGCGTCATGTACTACAATGTTCATTGCAGCTCTATTTACAATAGCCAGGACATGGAAGCAACCTAAATGTCCATCAACAGATGAATGGATAAAGAAGATGTGGCACATATACACAATGGAATATTACTCAGGTATAAAAAGAAATGAAATTGAGTTATCTGTAGTGAGGTGGATGGACCTATAGACTGTCATACAGAATGAAGTAAGTCAGAAAGAGAAAAGCAGAGGCTTCCGGGAAGATGGCGGAAGAGTAAGACGCGGAGATCACCTTCCTCCCCACAGATACACCAGAAATACATCTACACGTGGAACAACTCCTACAGAACACCTACTGAACGCTGGCAGAAGACCTCAGACCTCCCAAAAGGCAAGAAATCCCCCACGTACCTGGGTAGGGCAAAAGAAAAATGAATAAACAGAGACAAAAGAACAGGGACGGGACCTGCACCAGTGGGAGGAAGCCGTGAAGGAGGAAAGGTTCCCACACACTAGAAGCCCCTTCGCGGGCGGAGACTGCGGGTGGCAGAGGGGGAAAGCTTCGGGGCCGCGGAGGAGAGCGCAGCCACAGGGGTGCGGGGGGCAAAGCGGAGAGATTCCCGCACAGAGGATCGTGCCGACCGGCACTCACCAGCCTGAGAGGCTTGTCTGCTCACCCGCCGGGGCCGGCGGGGGCTGGGAGCTGAGGCTCGGGCTTCGGTCGGAGCGCAGGGAGAGGACTGGGGTTGGCGGCGTGAACACAGCCTGAAGGGGGCTAGTGCGCCACGGCTAGCCGGGAGGGAGTCCGGGGGAAAGTCTGGACCTGCCGAAGACGCAAGAGACGTTTTCTTACCTCTTTGTTTCCTGGTGCGCGAGGAGAGGGGATTCAGAGCGCTGCTAAAAGGAGCTCCAGAGACGGGCGCAAGCCGCGGCTAAAAGCGCGGAACCCAGAGACGGGCGGGAGACGCTAAGGCTGCTGCTGC